GGGAAAGAAAATAGTTTGGGAGGGAATTAGTTTTGCTTTCAGAGGCTGGGCGGGGAGAAGGGGGGCGGGGGTGTTATTCCACACAAATCCCCTTGCAGCGTCGGGGCTTTTCCTTGCCTTTCCTCTGAAAAATGTAGGCTTCCGGCCTGAGAAGGCTTGTGCGTAGTTTTGGTCCGGCATGTGCTGGAGGTTGGATTTTCTGGGCAAACCTTTATGTAGTGGCCTGTTTCCGTGCCTACCCTTAGTTTGGTTTGTTTGCAGTACTTGGCAGAGTCAAGAGCTGTTTATCTTTTTTTTTTGTGATCTGGTGATGCTTGAGGAATCTGATCATACGCATAGTCTGCTGCATATGTCAGATTAGGAGATTAATTTTGCCTTTAAAAAGCTGCAGCGAAAAAGTTTCTTCCTCTTCCTATTCGTATTGTAAACTGACAGAGTCATATGAAACAAAAGCTGCCTGGGTCTGCTAATAACTAACTGATAATAATAGCTTTTAGCACTTCACCTTTGACCTCTGTTTATGATCCAAATAGCTTTTCGATTTGTGTCCGGGATCCCAGAGAAGACCCTCTTCTTAGGAGCACTGTAGGATTACACTGCCTCAGGCTCTGCTCAGGTTAAAAAAAAAAAAAGCCTTAACACAAATGCTAAAGCTTGGTCTACATGCTTTTTTTTTTTTTTTTTTTAACAGGTTTAATAGTTAAAAGAGAACTGCCCCTGCCATGACCATAATTTTGTCTTATATATAATTTGTTCCCCTTCTGTTTGCAGGAATTACCAGTACTGGTGAGGACATCACTGTGAAGACTTCATAGTGGTTGGTAGGTTTTCATAGCTCAACTAACTCTCCCAGTTGGATGATAGTCAGCTGTAACTGAATCCTAAGTACCGACAAGGTCCTGTGTTTACAACCTTGCACAAGCAAGAATGCACTACGTAGTATTGGAGATTTCTACTCTTTTAAGGGAAGCATTTGTACTGTCAACTGTCTCGCGACTCACAGACTTGAATTTCTGCATGACTGTAACTGGGGCACTTTGGTGTTAAAGTTAGCATCTTACAGCACCGGTATACAGTATTAATCTGCAGCAGAGTATCAGAGCACTCTTCAGACCTTTTCCTCTCCCAGTGGTAATCCCACACGAAGAGTAAGCATTAGAAATATAAAATGAAATAGATGTTTGTGGGAAGGTATGCGCTATTTATACTGTTAAAAGACACATTTTTCTGACTGAACTCTTGGCATATTTTTAAAAACATGTAGTTGGGCTTCAGTGTTTTATATCTGTGACACAGCTAGAGAAGGTTGGTTAATTGGAGACACCTAACAAAAGGCATGGGATTTTTTGGAACAATTCAGGTAATATGGTCAAATCTACTAAGGCCTTAGGAGGAGGATGATGAGTTAACAAGAGTGTTGGAGAGAATGGAAGGTGTCCTTTGGCACCTTGCTGTCATCAGTAGCAATACTTACAGCCTTTTTCCTTAACATAGGATGCTTTTAATCAGGATGTTGTTACACAAATGACCTCTCTATTCACAGGTTCTGAGGGAGGAAGCTCTCCTCTCTGATTAATTTAGTCCCTGAAATATGAATTGCTGTACTAAAAAGTCACCTTATTTTTGCAAAAGCTCAAATATGAATGCTTTTAATTTCTGCATCTGCTTTTAAAGTTCAGCCAGTTTTATGTGTTGAATGATCTGGCCAGAAATTCCTCTCACTGATTTGAAGGAGTGGAATAAAAAATAAATTCCTATAGCAATACTGTATCTAATTTGGTTCTTCAGTGCCTATTTGTTTTTTATGTTGGTTTCTAAAAATACATTTCTGGAGATCCTGCTTTTGAGATAGTGGGATGAGAATATTCTTTTCTTCTTCTTTCTTTTTTTCCCTTTCAAATATTGCGCCAGTGGCCTTCTGCCAGAAGTACTGGATTGGATAGGATTTTCAGTTAAGGTAGATATTCTGTTTCTCATGATGCCTTATGTGCTATTACCATGCATGCTTGCACACTAGTGATATATTTGTCTTTCTTATGAAATCCTGATGACCATGGGCACGTTTTTCTGTTCCTGTTCTATGGCAAGTCATTTTTTTTTAAATATGCTTGTAGTTCTTGATATGTTCGTGTTCTAAATCTGCCCTATTGATACAGATCTTCCAGGTATAAAGAGTCCAGCAGTATATTGCCACTCATCATAAGGGAGAGCTTGAAGTATACAGCAAAAATTGGTGTTTAACATATTGCACTGTGAAACCGATGGCCATGGGACGTTACGGAAGCTCCAAGTATCCCTGGATTCAGAGAAATGTCACGTTCATAAGTCAGATGTTAGCTTTTAAATGCCAAAAGCAGTTTGGACTTGAAAAAGTATCTAACCAGCCACTTGCAGGAATCAGAGGAAATATTCCAGAAATAATCTTTTCTGTATGTTTACTCTAATGCTGTATTTTACTAAGTATCTGTTATTGGCCGTTTCCGGAAACTGAGTACTGAGTTAAGGACATCTCTGGTCTGACTGAAGAAGACAGGTCTCACAAGCTAAAGGAGCAGAGACAAAAGCAGCAGCAGTAAGCAGAAGATGTGGTCAGCTTAGGCAGCTAGCGTTTTTGGCATTTCTGATTTAAACAGTTTTCTTTTTCAGAAAAGTTTTATATGTTACTTAATGACGTTCTCTGCTGAATTTGTTATAATTTCACCTTCCTTGAATTATATCTTATCTTTTTATGCTAATACTATAGACCAGGTTAGTTCATCCTATGCTCTTCAGTGTTCTGAATAAGGTCAAAGCCTCCTTGTCACCACACTGATAGGTCTTTTTGATCTCTACCAGTAACCTAATTACAGCAGTTGGTAGCACTGTGCACAAGACTCCACTAGAGGGCTTTGCTCCTGTAGTATGAATTATATTATGAAGTTATTAAAAAAAAATAGTATTTCATGGCTATGTGTCACAGTATGACAGACGCTGTCTCAACTTCTTTTCACTCCAGTGGATTTGAATACTGTCACTGCTTTCATTAGATCTATTATTTTCATTAATGCCTACTTCATGAGGAGACAGACATATTTTGATGAAAGGCAGTGCATCCATGTTTAATCTCAATGGAGAAATATTTTAAACTGAAAAAACAAATAAAATTTATTAAAAATAATTTTCTAAATACTTTTTTTTATCATTAGTGATGAGCACAAGCAATCAGACTTCTTATGAAGTTAGCCTGAAAATCTTGAATTTTAAATATGTTTGGTTGATTGCGTATTTTATTTTAAAAAATATAAATTATAGCAGTGGAGTTGTCACATTTGTTTTCTGCTTCTTTTCATATTTCATATTTTTACATAGTTTGTTTTGGAAGAGTAATTCAACTTAAAATAAAAATGAACTCGCTCTTTAATTTAGTGTTCCAGCTTGCAGATCTGTTATGTTATGCCTTTATATTTCTAGTCATGTTTCATACTTAATTTATGAAAATAAGTTACTCTGTTTGGCAGAGCAGGTTTTTCGTATTTGGTAAACTAATGTACAGCATATACATATGCTGTCTGCAGGGGAAAGAGAGAAAGAACTTTGTCAAATCTATGCAACTATATTAATGTAATATCAGACTTCACGATCTACTGCTTTAAAAACAGTGTGTTTACATTAGGCTCTGAACCTGATTTCTGTTTTTGCTGAAACTAGTTCAAAGACTTCTGCCATATAAGAACTAGAGTGATTGTGAACTTCTGATATACATCATTTTTCCAGAGTGGAAAATGAAAGAATCTGCTACCGTGAACTTAGGTTTTCACGTATGAGAAAGAGTCTTACAGTGACCTTGACGCTATCCAGATGTGTGCGTGGAAGAGATAATAAGTATATATGTAAGTCATGAGAGTGGAAACACAAGTTTTGAAGAGGTAGCACGAGCTATTCCTTTTCATTCATTTCAAACATCTTATTTCCCATGAGTCTTTAGTGTACCTATGGGTTACTAGTGCTACAAGTCACTGCAGTGTTTTATGAGTGACTTCTGCGTTTTGCTCTTCCTCTTCTCGGCAGGCAAATGGTAATACAGTGAATTCACACGCTTTGGCTGCCTAATGCCTGATTCTGCAAGCCTTTAGTCACATAAATGTTCCCATTGGTTGCAATGGGGCGGATCATGCATGCTGGACTTCTTGTAGATAGGTTGATGTGACCAAGGGTTTATGGGTTTGAGCTTGGTCTGTGCTATACAAAGGGTGATAGTTTGTCTTTGTGGTAGCTTCATAGTTTGCATTTTCTTTGAATGTTACCCATCTCCGTTCTCCTTTCATTCAATACTGCTAGTCTCAAGAGGCAGAAAGTTGCTATTTAATTAGTATTGTTAAGTATGAGACGTAACACAACTGTGGTGTATGTGCTGCGTTCATACCCACTGGGGAAAATTCTCGTGTTGCACTGGTATAAATCTGTAGTAGTTCTGAAAAAAAATGTTGTGTTGGCTATATTCCAGTAAAGGTAGGAACAGCATTTGGCCATGTCTTAGGGGTGGCAATGGTTGTTTAGTGCATTGAATTCCTTTTATCTTTCACCGGCTCTACACAGCTTCAAGTTCAAGTTGTGATTGACAACATGAGGAGAAATATGTGGTCTTAATGTAATAAAATATTGTCAGATAGGGAAGGAATTATTTGGAATATTTCTGAATGGTTCGTGCTGGTTAAGTCACATTGAAAATGATGATAATTGTAAGCCCTATGTGGTGGTTATACGTATCTTGTGCTCTCTGGGATTTGTTTGTTTGTTTTTCAGTTGCCCCTCTTCCTCTCCCTTTTTCCTCACATCTGAGAATGTGATTGCAATCCATATTGGTTTGTGTTCCCTTTACGGGTGGCAGGATTGGGATCAGATGTCTGAAGAAAAAGAAAAATAAAGCAAAAGGAGGGATTGTATGCAAACAAAAGTGCATCATAGGTTTAATCAGAAACCTTACTCCTTGTATGCTGTCAAGATGAGTTTAGACATTTTGCTGAAATTGCCTGTTTTATGGACATCCCTGTGTAGATGCTGCCAAAAAGAGAAAACAGTGTGCTTTGTTTAAGTCTATGATTTTAGGCCGTTAATTTAGAAAATAAACGTTGTAGAAGCCTAAGTTGTGGAGAAAGCGGAAAAGATAAGGGTAATGAAACAAAGCATGTTCCTCAGTCTCAGCATTTTAGACTGCATTGTGATAAAAGGCTCCTTTTTAACCTTCATGTAGTAGTGAGGAATTTTAAGGACTGAGATTATTACTGAAGCTAATTGAAAGCCATAAATAAGAGACTTTCAACTAGCCACAACGAGGAGGAATATTTAATAGCTATAGGCTGTAGTACTCAAGTTTATTAAAACATATTCACTATTGGGACCATCTTTGTGTATATTTTTATGATTTAAAAAAATACTATTTTCTTTTCTAGTTTACCTTGATCACCAGAACAAACTCCACAAGAGATGGTAAGCAGTCTTTATGCGTGTCTGTGTGGTAAGCTAGTCCTATATATAGGAAATGCACATAAACACTTTTACTGAACTATCGATACAGACATATACAAATTATATGTGAAAGTAGCTAAACTGCATTTAAAATAGAATTCAGATCACAGCACTACATGATTTGTCTACCCTTGGGAAGACTCCAGAGACATAACAGGAAAATAACTGAGGACGTTGATCATTTGCCATAGACTTATAGCTTTTGTTCACTTGAGGAAATCTCTTATTTCCATTTATTCCACAGCTGAAAAAGCAGATATAGAACTAAGTTAGACTTTAAGGTATTTATTTCCTTTCTCCACCCCAATGTAAAACACTTCCATAACTTTTTTTTTTGGACAGATGGATTTTTAAAATTCAAATATAAAAGAGGTTTTCAAGGGTCACTTTGAACAAAAAAAGCCACAAAAAGTATTTGGACAGGCACCAGCATCTCGGTTCTGTCTACATGAACTGGCTTTTTGTCTTCCTCTCCCTGAAATTAACAACTGGAGCTAGTCAGCTAGACAAATCAGCCAGCTGAATTCCAGAGCTTTCAGTAAAGTCATCAGGACCCTTTTTAGAAACATTTAAAAAGAACTGAAGATAATTTTTGAACTCTGAAAGAATATGTTGTCGTCTTTGGAAATGTGTAGAATGTATGAGTTCTCTGCTTTTCTCAAGTGGCATGGAGTACTCTATTATGTTCCAAAACTGGATTTTTTTAGTGGGAAAAAATAAGCAAAATGTTCTAAAACTAACCTGTGAATGTATCAGATCTGCTAACAGGACCTTCTCATCTCACTGCTGAAGGATGAGGAGTCAGTCTGACATTCTTAAGCAAAGCAAGAAAAATAAATAAGGAAAAACATTGTACATCCAATTTTGAGGTGGTTGGATGATTAAGAATGGGTAAATGTGATATGGAAGGTATATGATTTTCTTGCACCCACTCATCTTGGGAATAAATCTTCTGAAATAAGTGGTCTTGTAGCACGGCAATGCTAGACTAAGAGGAGAATCAGCCCTATAAAATCTCACTTCCATAAGTTGTTACTTTTCAGTAAAGATAATTTGTCTGGGTGTTTTAATTGCGTGGCTGAGTCCCATAGTCCTTCACAAATAGAATGCAATTTTTGATCAGTTTCTTGAGTATTGTATTTTTGTATTGTTTTTTCTCCAAGTATATTGGCTGGAGATCTTTTGTACTTAAAATCACTTAGCAATACCCTTGAAAAGAAACAATATCTGTAGACCTTTTGTAGGGCTCAGTTTTGCAGACAGAATGGGCAGTTATTATTTCAAACTCCAGCGTTGGTGGTGTTGTCTGAGAACCAGAAAACGAAAATAAATGTAAGTAAATGAAATTAAGCTCCTGTGATATTGCCAGCATTGAATGGAAAGTCTTTCTTAAGTTTCTTTAATTCCCCCCTCCCCATAGAGATCATTCTTTTAAGGCTACAGAGTGGTGCCAGTGCAGATCGGGAAAGCACATTTCAAGACAGATTTTTATTTGGTATGTTCCTTTTTTAAAAAATTAATAAAAGACTATAAATGCCGCATTCACCTCTGAAAGCCTCAGCTAATCTTCCCATGGTTTGAGTATATGCCAAAGCATGGTTTAATTAAAATTCTTGTGATTTAAAGTACAGGCATTCTGTTTTGGCCCTGGTAGAAGCTTTTTCTCTGGAAATTCAGATGTGAAAAAACGTCACTTGCCACATAAGTTTTGACTGTATTCTAGGCCCTAGTTTACCATACACCTTTCTTTAAGAGCTTCAGTTATCCCTTCTTTTTGAGACTAGGATGAGGCAGGAGAGAAAATGGCCTGTAGGAAGTAGGTTTATGGCTGGAAGGACTGAGGGATTTTTAGTTGCTGGTGAAATATGGACAGATTGAAACTGTGCTGTTTCAGGTAAAGTAAGATTAGCTGGAGGACAGGAGATGTTTCATTTTATACCTAAAGATCCTTTTGCTTTATCATTGGGACTTTATTGCTCCTATGTTGGTTGCTGATGAGTACAAAAGGGAGATTTACTGGCAGCTCAGGACTTGGCTAAATACAGTCTTGTTTTTGAGCGAAATCATGATGGATATATGAACCTGACTGAATTGCCGTTTGACTTTTTCTGTGAAACTTATCTTGGCAGGCAGATGGAGGAAATGTGTTACTGGATGAAATTAATGCCTTTATTTAATACGGAGGAATTTTAATCTCTTGTGGTTTTTTGTCTGTGGATTTGGAAAACAGGTGTAGGTTGTAATGCCTACACCTTGGAATGATCCAGTTCTTGCAATTCATGGTGAGCAGTTAAGGAAATGTGGAATACATCCACTTCCACCATAGCAGCAGGAACACTTGGGAAAATATCTTCTGTGTACTACTTCTTTATTGGTAATTCTTCATGGGTAGTTGATGAGGAAGAAACAGTCTCTGGTGAAAGTAGTGAATGCGCTTGCATGGTATTAATACCTGTCATTCTCTTTCAGATATACATTGTTTATCATAGGAAAAGAATGACTGATGATTAAAAGGCAAATTTAGAGCTTACTTTTACAATGTTTCTCCCCTCAATTAGTGTTTGCTTTATTTTCTTCTTCCCCTCTGCCCCCCCCCACCCCCCCAGGAGAAATTGCCACAGGAAGACACTGAGCCATGGTACTTTCAGCAAGTGTATGCAAGATACTGGAAGCACTATGATTTAGCCATGCGCTGGATGCATAAACACCAGAAAGCCTACAGGAAAGCCATGGAGTCCTTCTATCACCTACCATGGCATCCTTCTGCAGCCTCTCCAAGTAGCCGTTACTCAGATTGGGATGGGAATGACCTACCACATACCCACAACTGTTTTTCCAGCTACAGCCCTTGTGGCAGAGCTAATTACCATGGTGGACCTCAGCAGTACAGGGGTGCCCACCCTGGGAGGGAAAATGCTGACAGGGACTCTGAAATGGAAGAGGGCTCTGACTCCGAAGAGGAGATAGAATATGACTTGAGTAACATGGAGATCACAGAAGAACTTCGCCAGTTTTTTGCACAGACGGAGAGGCACCGGGAAGAACTGCGTAAGTCCGTGTTCGTTGTATATTTTCTGGTGCTTGGTGGCTGTCACATGGAGTGGTGGATAGCTTCAGTGTTGAGAGTGTAACGTTTTACAAAAGTAGGGGGCGCTGCAAGTGAGTAAGCCAGACAGAGTGAACCAGGCAAAACTTGTGGGTGCACTTAGGTTGCTACCATTCATTAGAAATAAGGCTCAGAAAATGTTTGAAGGTTTTTCTGTAACAGAGAAAAGATTATGACTGCAAAGAAGAGAAGACAATATTCAGTTATCTTCAGTTCTAAAGAAAACTTGTCCATTTGTAGAGTGATGAAGAGTGGAAAGTTCAGTGCTCTTTTTAGTTGCAGAGATGACACTCATTCTTTTAAGAGTTGCTTGATGAGACTTTTGCAGTTTCTTGCTTTCCATTTCTAACTATCGTTTGATTTTTCCTACAAAGATTTGCTTAAATTTTAAAACAATATTTAATCAAACAGCTTTTCCATTAAAAATATATATGTATATACTTATATTTCAAGATCTAGAATTAATTCATGCCAAATTTTAAAACGGGTTAAAGAATGAAGTTAGCTGAAGGACTTTGTAATGGCATTCAGTCTAAAATATTGTCAAAACTCCAGAATTTTTAAGGTTAAATCTAATTACGTGATAAATCTCTGAAAGGGGAACCCAGAGGAAGCACTTTACTACGTTGCCAAGCCCTAGGGTAAACCTCAGTGTACTTTATAATATGGATCAGCCATTTTATTTGTTGTTCTTTGGCTAACCCAACAGCAAAATTCCAAGACCTTTCTCTTCTCCCCCCGCATCCCTGGGGTCCTCTGCATTTTGTACTGTTTCAGAAGTTTGTCTTTGCTTTGCATCTTGATCTGGACCCGAGTCCTTAAGCAGGGGACATAAGACAAAGACTCGAGATTTTTTCAGGTCTTGATCCTCAGAGATATTCGTCATCTTCGTTTCTGTGAAATCTTAAAGGAAATAAAGGATTATGTTGTACTTTATTGACAGTTTACTGTATATACATATGTTGCAAGCAAATTTATGATCCTTTAAAAAAAACAGCATGATGAAAGTAACATTTCCCATGTGAGTCACATAGGAAATACCCAGAATGAATGTATCGTATAACTTGTTCTGCGTACTGAAAGAAAGAAATGCTCTAAAAATGCATAATAAAGACAATGATTGGGAAGGAGAATTAAAATTATGTTAAGTTCTTTGACCAGAGGGTATCTAGTGAACTGAGACACCCCAACTTAACTTCACGTGTCCCTTCAGCATGATGCACAGCTTCCCTAGCTAGTAGAGGAATGTGAATTAAGGAGCTCACTGGTAGTGCCTGATGTACAGCCCTTTCTCATCAGCATGGTTCTGTTTTTACAGAATGAATTTACTGTTCTGTATTAAAACATTCCTCTGAAGAGGTACAGGATACTTTTAGATGCACAGCTAAGTCTAGAAGTGCAGTACGCTTTCCTTGGATTTATTCTGTCTTTATGATTAGTGCTGTTTAAAGGTGTGTTAGTGAATAAAGTGGTATGCTGGCAGTTGGGAAATCTGGGCTCAGACACTCTTTGTCACAAAAACCCTATATAACCTTGCTATAGCTATTTTATTTCTTCCTGACCTCTCACTTGCCATTTTTGCTAAAAATATGATTTGATTCTTTATGATGAGCAGATGGATCAGGAAGGGGCTTCTGACAGAGAACAGAGAGATTTGACCCCTGTTCCTTCTGCCACATAGGTACTTGGAACCTTTTGGAATAATTAGGTCTCAACCCTGTGCCAATTACTAGCCTAGTTCTGGGTAAGTGTAATTCCATTCACTTCAGTGACACTATTGCACATCTTGGTGCAAACGAAAGCAGAATCTGGCCTTTAGCTTCCATGTTCCTTACTTTCTTTGTCGTTTCCCTGATAAAGTCAGGATAGTAATAATTGACTGTAATTCTTCAAAGCAAACGAAAGTAAACAAGTGAAGGGTGAATGGTGCGATCTAAATGCTAATTTTTTGAGTAATTAAAAATTCAGTTTGAGCTTACGCAGAAATAATTTTGTTTCCTGCAGTGAGGGGAGGGAAAATAAAATACATTCTTAATTCTGTTGGAGTTTCTCAGAAAAAATAATGTAAGCAGCAGGAGGAGAAAAATACTCATTTCCCTGATGGCATGGAAATGACAAACTGTATGGAGACTCTAATGAGGGCAGTACTACTCTACTTTTGAGGTAGTGTTATTCGTTATCCTGAGTGCTGTTTTTAAGCAAAATGAAATTTAGGGGTTCATTAAGCTGAGATCAATGACATGATCATATTGTGTCTTTCATACTGTAGTGAAGAATTGCTTTCCCTTTATATCGGTCCTCAAGGAAAATGGAGTTAATGCAAAGACAAACAAAAACACAGTTACTTTATATTTTCTGACACCTTTTACTTTTAATCCATAACTGTAAGTCTTAATCCATAACTGTAAGTCTTAGGCTGTATCCCTCCACTGTATGAGCAGATCCATAAAGGAACTTGGATACTGTAAAGCTCAGCAGTGCCTGAAATCTAGGCGTCCGTCTCTGGAAGAGACGTTTGTAATGTTGAGATAAGAGTTTTAAGTTTTCTCTAAACTGAGTAGAAAGATTTGGACGTGTCAGAGGGAATACACAATAGGCAGCTTGATAAACAGATGAAGTGCCAAGCCAGCTGTTAGGAAGCGTTAAGGGGAGGACTATGCTGGAGTTTTCTTTCTCTGACACAGATAAAGGGCTTCAGGTGGAGTTCACAGCCTTTGACCCCTGCACTTTGCCATGCATTTGGGAGCAGTCACCTGGTTTGCTCTTGTGTTAAAGTGAACGCTATGCAAGAACTTGCTATATGTTTATTGACAACTTGTTGAAGTGTATGAAGGTGTGTGGGAAACTAATAGCAGTGGGCCAAAAAGAAGGGGGACTTTAGTGTATAAGGAAGGGATTACTGGCACAGAGGGTAGAGGACTGATTTATCTTTGAAGGATGACTGCCATTAACCTGGTATTTTTTGAAGCCCTGCAATGTTAGGAAATACTATGCAGCCTTAATGCCTCATATTTTGGGCATATGCATGATGGGAGTCTTGATTTACCAAGTTAGATATGCTTGGTTCGCCCCACACAATCCATGCCTCATCGGCATGTAAAAGGGTAGTGAAAAACGGACTAAAACGACTCCTGGTTCATGTCAAACTCTCACTTCTGGTGCTTGATGTAGAATCTACTGGAGGTAACAGTGATCACTGGCATCAGCAGAGAGGATCTTACAAACTGTAAATGTGGAATACTTGAACATGGCGAAGGTGGAGGCAGGAAAGGCAGCTGTGGAATACCAGTATTAACGTTAATTGCAAAGAGAAGAGTTTGAAAGTGAAGAAAGCTGCCATGTCAGACTAGCAAAAGAAGAAAACTTCAGGTTTATTTCATTTTTCAGTAAGTACCACAAACTTCAAGAGCATGTGGATTTCTGTACTAAATTCTATAAATTTCTGTGCTAAATTTTGTTTTCGCAGTGGGCATTTGCAGTGACTCACTGACTTGTACAGTAAAGCCTTTGAAACTGGCAAACTCTGAGTCTTGCTGCATGATTTAACGCTTCAGGAAGGAGAGCTTTCCACAAACAACTTTTTTTTTTTTTTTTGTCTTTGAATTCAGGTCAAGTTCTTCCTAGTTTTTATATTATGTCATGTGTTGCAGTCAAGTTATGTGTTTCTGGAATGCCCCAAGCAGAGTTTTACTGTGTGAACTCAGTCAGACACATTAATGCAGTACAGAGCTATATCATGCTCCGAATATACTACAAACAAAGCTGTTCAGTTAAAATCCCTTACAAGCCGTTTAATTTCTTTTCTACAGTAGGTTATAAAGAATCTTCAATTAATTTTTCATATGTAACCATAGTGATTCCATTATTTTATGGGAATTTTTTATTGTTTTCAGGCTAACCTGTTGTTTTGGTTCTTCACCTAACTGGTGATCCTAATATACTTTACTTCTTGGGGATGTTTTTAGTTACATTTAAAAGTCTTCCCTCAGGCTGGTGAAAAGCATGAAGTCATTTTTCTGCATTATCACACCTGTCAGACCTAGCTAGCGTACTTAATTCCCCAAGCATCCCGGATGTAAAGGAAAGAATACAGTAAGTAGCCTTTTTATATTTACAAGTAGCTTTTAAGAATTACAAGGACCAAAAACCAAGAAAGGAAGATTCCTGAGTCTAACAGCTTGGTAAATTGTCTAGTTGCACATATTTTATTTATTACACTTTTATATTTGGCCTATGAAATAGGTAGTTTGTCTTTATGTTGCTTTTCTTTTCCCCCCCCTTTTTTTTTTTTACATAAATGGTATTAAAGAGAGTATGACTACTATAGTTGAGTTAATACAGCATTACAAGTGCATAAAGAACCATTCTGCAGTAATCAACAGGCAATGAGATAGTGTCCTTTAGTTAAAAACAAAGAGAAGCAAAGGAAACTGCAGTCACATCAGTTCATTACTGAAGGATAAGTCTGTCATTTGTTAATGCCATGACTAGTTTTTTCCGATAAAGCCTCTATTTGTATTGCCAACACATGCCCTCCAGCTTATTTTCCCAAAATAGTATTGCCTAAACTTGAAGTTTTCAAGGCAGATGGAAAACTGCTAAAAAAAAATTGAAGGGATTGGTGAACAAAGATGTTTGTCTCAAATCTGCAATTTGTAGTTTTTTCCCCTCAGGTTTCTTTTTCTCTGAAAGATGACTCTTGCCTCTGCCTGTTCAGTGAAGTGGGGGTGATGGAATTTTCCATGTTTTTAATTTGCTTGAATAGCACCAAATCCATGAAGCTTTTGATTTTATTATTCCTTTAAAATCTCTGTGTTTCTTTGGAAAATACTGACTGTTATGCAGGTTGTTTGCCACTGTGAGTTATTTTTTCCTTTATCCTTCAGTTTTGGTAACTGCTTCTCCCTGTTTTTCCTCTACTTCTTTTCCACCAGACTCGAGT